AGTCCTGAGAGCTCTGAAAGTTATACAAGCAAAAGGCAAAATATACAGACATCCATTTTTTAAATTTTTTTAGGGGGTATACTTTTGCGATAGCAAGGCCGGGTGTGATTGCAGTGATAGGTGCAAGGCGTCTGTTCTCGGCCGTGGGTAAAAACCGGTCCCCCCAGCTGGGATATCACTGGGATGGGCAATGCCTGCGTTTGCAGAGAGAGCACGAAGACAGGCGCTCACTGCAGCAGAGCGCCTTGATTCACTGCCTTTCCATTTCCAAGTCTAAATAAAACCATCAGGTCACCCAAAGGTGATTTTTTTTTTTCCTCCCCCGCATATACAGCTGACTACAGAACTCATGTTTAATTTTTCTTCCCCCCCCCCCCCCCAAAAAAAGAAAAAATGTGATCTTTGCAGTTTTTAAGGATGTTTTAAAATAACTGTTATTTTAAAATAACTGTTCTGTCAACATCGTGGCTTAAACGGAATCATAATCCTGCTACTTATAGCTTGGAAAACAGATAAGATCCCAAATATCAGATATTTTTAATAGAGTTGGAGAAATAAAACATTGGCTATTTCCTACTCCTGCCGGTACGAGAAAGCAAGATTTAAATTAGAGACCACCGTTCTAGGCTCCTGTTATATACTCTTAAGGCATCAACAACTGTTAAATGCCTTTACCTACACAGGAAGTTCCTTAACTTTGTAAGGAGCTACGATTTGGTGAAACCGGAATCCCACTGAAAAGCCCCAACAGTCAAACAAGCATGACAGGTATGCTCAGGATACAATTCCCAGCAACAGCGTGGATGTCTTGTGCGTAAATCTGTGCAACAATTCTGCTTACTCACCAGCTAAGATTCATGGCTGTGTGATCTGGCATTTCAGGATGAAAATGCAATTAGCACTGATAACCAATTTCTGCTGCGGTCTGACGTTCTCCACAGCTTTCCTTCTCTACACAGACACGCTTTCACTAGCAGTTTTGGAAATGGTCATTAAGTCTCACTTTGTTTTCAAGCTTTGAGATACGTAATCCGTTATTATATGTATTTCTTAGTCGGGCCTTGACAGCATCAAGGCAATGATTTAGGTGCATCTGCCTGTTGACTACCTTCTGCACCGTTACACTGAAAGCTCAAATCACAAACTTCACGTTAGGCACGTCCAAGAAACGTTGCCTCTGTGGTTTCCAAATCACAGGTACAGAAGAAAGGTAAAAAAGGCAAGGCAAATCCAAGGCAAATACCCCACCTGGTTTCATGACTCCTTGCCTAAACTTGAAGCTGTCACCTTAGCCCTCTTCTGATGCAACCATCCAGCTATTAAGCATGTCTCTTCTGCAACCACTTCAGTCAGAACAACTATTTCTCAGCTGATATATAATAATTTTGGACTACTCTCTTAGAAATGCTCTTACCACAGACACTGAGATTTCTACGTGGAAACTGAGCTCATTACCTCTGTCATTTTGTGTGCAACTTGCTAAAAAACTGCAATGATTAATGTTTCTTAAATGTTACATGATACCACAGAAAGCAAGCACGTCAGACATAGCTTCCTCTGGGATGGCTAAAACAGTTGTTTCAGGATGCTGCCATCAGGCTGCTGGTTAACGTACTTTCAGAGAAGTTTTTGCGGAACAATAAAGCAAGTTAAAATGCCATGCATAATGACTTTAAATTACCTGTTAAGAATATAGTTTACAAACGAATACGGTATTAACCAAGACACCATGTTGAGAAACTGCTTTGCCTAGTAAAACTAGTGATTCACAACTACCCAGTCTTTTCCATCATTAACAGCAGAGCAATTAGCTAGAGCAGAATTTGGTTTCAGGAGACCAACAAAAATGGTGCTATTTAAACCTGTTGCCCATCATGAACTTAAGTCTTCTTAAAAATAGCTTTAGTCACTTTTATTGGTAGAAACACCTAAATTGAGATCTAACAGCAAATAAGGATTGCTCATCCATAATAACCTCAGCTGTGAAATCTACTCAGACACAAGACATACAACCTTCTATATACATAAGTTACTTGTCAGCAAAGCAGTATGCTGCCATTCTGAAACAATTACATACAGTAAAGGTTTTCAGTATTTTATTAAAGAAAACAGTCAAAATGTACAAGTATTACCCAGGTTTGTAGATAACTTCCTATAAAGGCAGTAAAATATGAATTTCAATCTAGGTTTAAAAACTGCTATAGTTGATTATTTTTAAAGTTGATATTTTAAAATCACGTTTCACAAATAGTTCGGAAATATTACCAAATGAATAGTGCAACAAGAAAATTGAAATTAGTTCTACGCTGTGTTTGCATGTCAAGCAAAAGTTTTAAGTAACTGCTTTAAATACTTAAATCATTTGAGAGTGAACAACCCAACAGCTCCCACCAAAAACTGACTTCTGACCACATTAGAAGTGTCCTCTTCTTGTTCTTCAATTAAAATCAAATAATAATAAAACAACACCTCTTGAGGTCATCAAAAATAACTTTAGTATAAAATTGTCTTGGCCTTTATCAAATATTACATGAGTAAAATCGTTAAGCCTTTATCAAAACAGACAGGAATAGGAAAAAAAATGTCATGGCCTTAATCCGTATCTGTTGGAATCACGTCTAGAAACGTTAGAAGCAAGACCAGAAACTTGGAGCCCTGTTTTGTTTTTAAAAACCACACAATCACACAGAAAAACAGCTTCTTACAGCCTAAGGTTTGGGGGTGTTTTCCTGGAGTGCCTGTTCCCACAGACAGCAACCTTTTATGTTCTGAGAGCATACGCAAAATATAGAAAAATAAATAAAATAGCTTCTTACAGCCTAAGGTTTGGGTGCTGGGCGGTGGTTTAGTACATCCCCCACAGGTCACACTCTGGAGATCATATGCAGAACCACAGAAAATGGTATCCACCTTTCTTGCTTTTCCGACTGAGAAAAGCCTCCCTACATCCCGAAGCTCTTGAGATCGCAAAGGATCGTGCCCTGGGTGCTCTGGATGCTTTGGCAGCACGGGAAGTGGGCTCGGAGACAGACCCTGAGCTCCTTGTTGAAGATGAAGCAAAGGATGGGGTTGACCCCTGCCTGGGCAAACGTCATCCAGACGGAGGTGGTCAGGTAGACCTGGGGGATGGAGCTGGCCTTAATGAAGACCCGCAGGTAGCAGGCCACAATGTAGGGGGACCAGAGGAGCAGGAAGAGCAAGGTGATCATGTAGAACATCTTGCAGAGCCTTTTCTCCATCTTAAACTCCTCCAGCACCAGCAGCCTCTTGATCTGGCTGTGGGTAGCCCGCCTTATGCCCACGAGGGTGGGCGGTGTGGGCACCCCGCCACAGCCACGTGGAAGGTCCAGTTCTGGCTGATGGCTGGTACCAGCTGGGCCGGCTTCATCTTGCGGTGGCCGTGGATGAAGAAGAGCAGCTTGATGTAGACCAGGTGGGTGGCAGCGATGACAGCCGCCAGCATGAGCATGAAGCCCAGCGTGTCGTTGGCCTTGACGTAGCGGTGCTCAAAGATGCACTGCTCCTCCTCCCGGATGAATTTGTAGGTGCCCACGTCGAAGACGGGCGGGAAGGCCATGGCCATGGAGAGGGTCCACACCATGCACACCACAGCCAGGCAGGTCCAGCCCGTCATGCGCTTGGCGTAGAAGCGGTGGTGGGCGATGGCCATGTAGCGCGTGACGCCCACGCAGAAGAGCAGGAAGGCGGCGTGGAAGCAGAAGAGCACGGCCAGGAAGGCCAGCACCTTGCAGCTGAGGGGCCCGTGGGGCCAAGCGCCGGCCCCGCTCCGCACCGAGAGCATGACGAAGGGGAAGCAGGCCAGCGAGCGGAGCCCGTCGGCCAGGCACAGGTCCAGCAGCAGGTAGTAGGGCGCGCGGTGCAGGTGCCGGTCCTTGAGGATGAGCCAGGCGAAGAGCACGTTGCCCGCCAGGCTCACGCAGAGGATCAAGCCCAGCGTGGCCAGCTTCAGCCCGGAGGCGCTCAGCAGGCCGCCGGCGCTGGGCAGGTGCGGGCTGCTGCTGCTCCCCCGCCC